CGATATTTAGGGTTTAATGAGTTTAAGATACAGGCGGTTTGCCAAGGCTGCAGAGCACAACCTCACACCCCACAGCCAACAGTCTGAGGTCGCAGGAGCCTCTTGGCAAGAGTGACCCCATGCAACTGGCAACAGCAGGGAAGCCCCAAAACTGGAGCTGCAGCATCCTTATAAGTGGGGTGAAGAGTCTCATCCACACAGAAATGGGAAAGAGCAACTAGCTCCCATCTATTTTATTCTTCTGTGTTTGCTGGGGTGGCAATGGGGACAGAGCAACGATGATCCAGCCATCATATCAATTACATTCATATCAAAGACTACTCATTAGAGGGGTATGACACAGAGTGACGTGACTCCTTCAGTACAAGGATATTCCCAGAAAAGGAGCTAACCTGTCCACACACAAGACCCTCTGGCACTGCAGGAGCACGGTCTAAAGCTACACCAGTAACTTCACTAACAAGCAACGTGAGACCATGTCTCCCAACCCCCCTCCTTGCAGCAACCCTGCCTCCAAAGAAACTTCTCTCCCTGACTTGCTAAGCATGCGCTGGTCGAGCAGGGGCCTGAGGCAGGAGATGGATGGGAAGGGCGAAGGGGGCTGAGGGGTGGGACCGGAGCGGGGCCGGCCCCGGGGACACCCCTCCCCGCCGGGGCGGGACGAGCCGCCAGCCCCGCTCCGAGGCGTGTAAAAGCGGGGCGGCGGGGCCGGGGAGCAGCGAGCGAGCAGCCGGGGCTGTGCTGCGGAGCAGGTGAGCGGGGCCGGGCGGGCAGCGGGGACCCCGTCCGGCACCGGCACCGGCACCAGAGCCGGCACCGGCACCGGGGGCAGAGCTGAGCCTCGCCTCGCCTCGCTGTTCCACAGGTTGCACCAGTTGCCGGGATCGCTGCACAAACCAGCAAAACGTCGTCCGAAATGGCAGCCGAGGTGAGGGCGAACTCTGCTTCTTCAGCGAAGTAGTCTCGGGGGTGCTCTGGCAGACGTGAGCTCAACTGAGTTAAAATCTAAGTCCCTGACATTTCCTTCAGGTTCTTCCCTCTACCTGGGAGAGACTAATAACTGACGCGGTTCATTCCTGCTGACTTGCGTTCAGGCAGGAGGTACTTTACAGCAGCTTGTTTCAACACAAAAGCTGCATTTTCAGTTTCCGTGCCTGCTGGGTGAGACGTGACTAGTCGTCTTAGTGAGTCACGCTTTCTGCCTTCCGAACGACTACTACAACCCTGGCCTCCTCTGCTCTGGGTTGCAGATGAGTGTCCATCAGCTGTCTGACTGTACTAGCTACTGCTCTAACCAGAGTCCTGCAGCTAGCTAAAGTTAATCTCTCAGTTTTGCGTTCCTGATTGCAAACGCGTCTGCTGAGGTGAGGGCGAACTCTGCTTCTTCAGCGAAGTAGTCTCGGGGGTGCTCTGGCAAACGCGAACTCAACTGCATGATAACCCCAGCACTGCAACCTGCCATGCTTGTTCGGGTGGTTCTCTCCTTGATTTGTTTTCCCGGGTTTTAAATGGAGAAGGGGACCGCAAACACATTTACTGCACTATTTCTGACAACCCACCTCTGATTCTGGTGAAAACCCACGGTAGTGAAGATATACTTAGAAACCTCTTCCCCATCCAAGCGCTTGGTTCCCAGCTCTGGCCTTTCACACCCCATCCCCTCTGCCATTCACCCCAGGGGACTGGTTTCCCAGCGAGGAGCTGCAAAACTTTGCTTTTTCAACTCCGATTCCGCCCCCCCCCGCCCCGGGGGGCCTTTCACACCCCATCCCCCCTCTGCCACACCCCAGGGGACTGGTTTCCCAGCGAGGAGCTGCAAAACTTTGCTTTTTCAACTCCGATTCCGCCCCCCCCCGGGGTCACCGGGCCCAGCCCAGCAGCCCGGCGCCCCGCTGCTTCGGGGACCTTTGGGGGGTGGTTTGGGGTCGTGGGGGTTTTTCTTTCCTTTTCTTTTTCCCCTGGACACTTATAATACTGAAAGGTACCCAGATCTCCCTTTCTGGAGTCTGCACCTTAACCAGTTTTATGCTAATCTTATGCCAAAGCTTGCAAGCACATCATGGACTCTGGAGATGCTTCAAACGGTAACGGCAAACACTTCATAGTTACAGGAGTGTTTTAGAGGATGTGGCTTGTACTGGCCCGCAGCTCTTTACCAACCAAATATTTTCTTATAGTCTCCCTAAAAGAGTCGGTTTTTTAAAATCACGATTTCAACAGTAGATGTTAGCTTTTAACTATATCCCTGACTCCCTTACTTTCCTTCCCTGCCAAGAGACTATCAAAAGGTCAGTGATCAGCAGCTGCCTTAAAAGAGAGATCCATGCTGGTCTTGCACCATATGCCCTAATATTCGTTTTCAAGGACAGGACACACTCCCTCCAGAGTCCTGCAGGAGTAAAGTATCTTGGAGGATTCCTGAGCCAGACCTGACACCTCAAGGGCTAAGTGCTAGTGACAGTGACACGTTCTCCACCTCTTCAACTACTTGCCAAAGGTCCCGAAATCCAGGGGCCTTACTGCTCAATGGTACAGCACTGAAAAAACATTCCTGAGTATGTCCTCAGTTTTACATGGATAAGGAATGGGACAGACATTAACTGATTTTTAGGAGATATATCAGTAAGTCTTTTGAAGGTGCCTCTTAACTTCATTACTTGCAGGGGGATAAAATGTTGGGAGGAAGACTCGGTGGAAGCACAGATCCAGTCATGGAGATGTTCAGTGCTTCCATTACCTATGATCAGAGGCTGTCTGAAGTTGATATCCGGGGCAGCATGGCTAAGGCCAAAGCCTTGGAGAAGGCTGGGATCCTAACTAAACCTGGGAGAGAGAAGGTGGTGAGTGGCCTGGAAAAGGTATTTATTTCCTTCACAAACTGGCACGCGTGCTGGAACGAATGGCTTCTTATCTGACAGCATCTGTAGTAGCCCCCCTGATCTGCTGTTCTAAAAAGCATCTTCAAATGTCCTCGTGTCCTAGTCCTTAGAGCTAGGCGTGTGCTGAAGTGCTTTGTGAAAGGGAATGCTGTCCTAAATCATGGACGTGACAGGCCCATGTGTATTGGACTCGGTACACCTGGAGGCATTCTGGGCAGGCGACTGATGCTCAAATTGCATCCCGCTAAAGGCACCAAAGCCCAACAGTAGGATGTGAACCAGCTGACAAGCCCCCACTGACAGCCTGAAGCCCTGATGTGCACACTGTCAATGCTCGTTATGGCAGCCCCGGTGCCCCGGTGAGGTGTGCTCAGTGTGACCTGCCCGCACGTCCTCTTCAGACTGAACATTCACGAGGAATTGTTTCAGTATGAAATAGGAATATTCTTTTTCTGCTGGCACTTGGGATCCTTTTGAGTCTGGCTGACTGAGTTAGTAGGAAGCAATGCATAGCATTGTATAGCGGTGAAGAGAAGTCCGCAGCTAAGCGCTTTTTTAAAATCTCCATTGTTGTTGCTCACCCACCGTGGACAATGGTGAGTCTATACAATCTTTGTATAGGAAAATCTTTGTGGACAATGCTAAAGCAATCACTGACATTTCAGCTCACTTTCTCGTTGCAATGCTTAAATCCTCCTATAGCCATAACACTGCAGAATCATCACGGGGAGAGACATGAATCCCACCAAGTGCAGTATAGAATATCTGGATATAGCAAGCAGCCAGCCTTGGCCTGAAAGAACAGGAATGCCAGAGCTCGCGTGAGACTTAACACTTTGATTTCCATTGGGACGGCAGAAGCTGGCATTCGCTGGGGACAATTACAGCCCCCACGCGCAGCAGGGTAACAGTAGTGGCTGACTGGTGTTTCTGCTGATGTTTGTAGATCTCCGAGGAATGGTCTAAAGGAGCCTTTGTGGTGAAACAAAGCGATGAGGATATCCACACTGCCAACGAACGCAGACTAAAGGTTCGAGTCCTCTAACCGCTTGTTCCCGCTCCTCTGTAGCTAGATCTGCTTGACGTTAAGTGCATGCGCCTCTGTCCCACTGTGAAACTCCTCCGGACCTTGTGGCACTCCGGGCCTTATGGCACAACCACGTGTCTCCCAGACCCCTTTTGTGGAAGAGGCGCTGTACAAACGTAGAACCCAAACTTGCCCTTCCCCAGAAGGGATCCCATGGCTACTCACAGGATCCTAGAGCCGAGTCCCGTCCAGGCAGGGAGGAGGTCTGCTCGTGCGGAGTCTCCTCCTTAGAATACAGAGGCGCTGACAGAAATCCTCCTCTCGTCCTCAGGAGCTGATTGGAGACATAGCTGGAAAGCTGCACACTGGAAGGAGCAGGAACGATCAGGTATGCACAGAACTGGCTGGTTTTCCTCCTTCCGTATTCCTCCCCCTCCTCAGTTCCTTAATCAAATTTCTTTATGCCATCTTTCACGTGCCCTGACGCTCTCCAGCATGTACTCCCTAGGGCTTTAAACTAGTGACGCCGCAGTGACTCATCCGCGCAGGGGAATGGGCTCTGCAGGATTGCTTCCTGGTGGTATAAGGCCGCAAACGTCCACTGACATCTCTTTGAAAGCCTACAGAAACCGTGACTTTACTGGCTGGGTGCCATGCATCTTTCAGGATCAGTCCTTCTACTGATGACCGACTTGCGTCAGTGGGGGATTTTCTGATCCAAAGTTGACCACACCCAAAAAGTCCACCGAAAAGAACGGGCTTTGATCCTGTTCATGGAAAGCAAGATACAGCGGCTTTCACAAATCAGTGACCAGGGACACACCTGGTAAGAGGAAGGTGTCCCTTCCCATCACACAGAACAAGGAGGGGATAACTCTGCTACGGCTCTCTGCTGGACAGGATTTGGTCACTAAGTATGTCACATTCTGCTTTGTCTGACTGTGGCTGGTCTCGCCCAGGTTGTGACTGACTTGAAGCTGTTAATGAAGAATTCCCTCTCTGTCATCTCCACTCACCTCCTGCAGCTCATTAAGACCCTGGTGGAACGCGCTGCCAAGTAAGTCCTATTCCATATCCACGGCCTTGGCCTTGCAGGGGCAGGAGACTTCTAGGCTTGCTCTTTGACTGACACCAATCAGGGCAGCAGCAGGGTCTTCTGCGGAGGAAGTTACAGACAGGCAGTGTGTGATAGCACAGGGAAAGACAACAGCCCCTCCTTCTCCACAGGTCACGTCACAGAGACCTTCCTCTTCCCCCAGTGTACCCTGGCAAAGGAACTGAGGCGGGAGGTCCGCACAAGACTTCAGAAGGTGCCAAATCCATCTGAAGGAGTGGGGAACTTTAACATGCTTCAAGTTGCTACGTAGGAGAAAAGCTCAGCTCCGTTAACTCCTGCCTAACTCTCCTCCTCACAAACCACACTCACAAACGAGTGGTGGACTGGGGAATCTTTGCCTGCCACAGAGGGATTGCTGTCCCAGGCAATTTCCCAGGGAGGCCTAGGGCAGACACACCACACTGGAAGACCGGGAGATCTAAACCCAGTGTGCTTAGGTAGCAGGTGACAGGGAGAGGAAGACGTGGATCAAATTCAGCACAACACAGGTTAAAGATGTTCTCTTCGTGACCTTGCCAGGAAACCCTGGAGTGTACCTGCCACTGCCTTCTCTCCTGACAGCTGCTGCTCACCTCTTTCTCTCCTTTCACACGCAGGGAAATTGATGTTATCCTCCCTGGCTACACCCACCTGCAGAAAGCTCAGCCCGTCAGATGGAGCCAGTTCTTGCTCAGGTAAACACCTTGCACACTTGGCGGGAGGAAGCCGCCTCCACCCGCGGGGCCCTGCTCAGCTGGAGCCTAGAAGTGCATCATCCTCTGAGGGGGCAGCCCGGGGCGGTGACAAACCAGAGCTAACCTTGCAAACTGGAACAGGAGCTCCCCGTGTTGCTGCGTGGCTCTGACCAACCGGGGACCCAAGCACTGAGTGGGCAGCGGAGGCCAGCTCCCTGTATGCTCCATCCTTTGGCCACAGTTACACCTCAGCTAATGGGGTAACATGGAGAATCTTGTACGGCCGCTAGCTGCTCCACTTCAAAGGCCCTTAGTGCCTAGGCTCCATTTCAAGCCTCTTCTGTTTGAGCGGGGATCCCAGGCTCCAGGCGTGGCAGCATACTGCTTGGGAAGGAAAGTGACATTTTCTGGCTTCACGTGCTTCATCTCTCATGTCCTTTCCTAGCCATGCTGTTCCTCTGACCCGTGATTCTGAGCGCCTGGGAGAGATGAAGAAGAGGATGAACGTCTTGCCTTTGGGAAGGTAAGGCCTACTGTTCGTGTAATGGCAGAGCAAAGCAAGGCCCAGCGATTACACGCCTTCTGTTCTGTCCCCAGGTGATGATCAGTCTGGGTCAACAAACACGAAAGCTGGAAACCCATTCTTTACATGTATCCCAAGTAGTGGAACTGCTGCCGGGTGGACTTGGTAGTAATTTACAGGTGGAGTTTTACCTCCTATCGCCTCCCCTCTTCACACCCCAGAAAACCCAGACTCAGATGGCATTGCCCTAGGTGAACACCAGACAGCCAAAAAAGACAGCACATCCATTTTTTCCTTTGAGGCTGCACCCCAGTTGCCTGGTCACTGACTGTGGCCTCTGCTTCTCACTGCAGATGCCATTCAGACAAGCCCACATCGCCTCTAGGAAGGCCGTCCACCTCGCCGAGTCTAAAGGCATACCCATCAATAACCTCAGCCCGGATGACCTGAAGACCATCAGGTTTGTGTCACTAGTCTCTTGCCGTGACTCCCCTCAACAGGCAGGTATCGGCCTCCCTTCGTATGGGCCTCCTTACGGTGCCCTTCCCCAAAATGCCTGGGCCGCACAGCTCCCCAGAGTCCTCCTGGCCTGAATATCAGTGCTGCTACTGCTGGGCCTGAAATAACTGAAGGGCGACAACATCGCTACCATTCAGCTCCAGCGGGGCATGGGCAGCAGCTCTTGGGAGGGACTGGAAGAAACTCATGCCCTGACCTGGCGGCACCAGCCCTCCAGAAGAGTTTGGCTCCAAACTTCCTCGCTCTCCCCTCGGAGCTGACTCTTTGGTCTGCCACAAGCAGCTACTGCCAGGCACCAGAAGTGCAGAAGCAGGGCTGCAGGAGGTCTTTCCCCGTGGAAAAAGGCTCCGTCTCCACTCCCTCCCCGTCTCTGCAGGCAGTGAGCATGTAAAGCCAGCAAACAGCACCCAGCGCTCTCCACTGACACCTCTTCTCTTTGCCTCCCCAGCCCCCTGTTTGGCAGCGACGTCTCCCAGGTCTTCAACGTCGCCAACAGCGTGGAGCAGTACAGGGCCATGGGCGGTACCGCCAAGAGCAGCGTGACTGCCCAGATCGAGCGGCTGAGGGAGCTGCTGAAGAAGCTGAAGGAGCAAGCTTAGAGTGTGGGGAGATATCCCGTGGATGCAGCGTTGTGCCTGTCACGCTAATCTGGAGTTAATAAACGCTGGGGTGCATTGTAGTTCACTGAAACTCCTGTCTTGCGTCTTTCTTCTTAGGGGCAAGATTGAGCTGGGCTTCCTCAGCCCTCGTGAGGCTTGGGGAAATGTTCACTTGTGTGTGAACCTGGCAGAGGAGCTGAGTTATGGGGTGTCAATTTCTAGGTGGCCAGTAGGTAGAGAACAGCAAGAGTGTCAGTGCATGCGTTGAGGGAGGGTTGTGTGTGTCCACAAAGAGAGACGCTTGGTACATCTGCAACACATGCCACATCTCCAGCTATCACTGCCCTCCTCATAGGATTATGTTTCCCTGCCTGCCTTCTGGCAGGAAAAAAAAAATCTCCTCACCACCTGGCACTGGAACTTGCATAGTCTTAGCCAGGACTGGGCCAGCAGGTCAACCCGCAGGTCATCCCAGTCCACCAGAAAACCACCTTTGGCTCTGGTTTACACCAAAGCACAGGGTTGCATGGTCCCAAGGTCAGCTCTTTCCTGTGCGTGACACATGCCCTGATTTGCCTCCAACCTAGCTGGGGCAGAGTGCTTTAAAAAAAAAAAAATCCCTGGTAGTGCACTCTTGTTGCCTCTTACAAAAATCATTTACCATCTTCCCTTCTGTCCTTACAGAAGTAAAATCGGAACAAAGACCAGAAAAGTCTTACTTGAGGAATGAAATGCCAGGAAGTTCCTGAGTCCCCTACTGCTTACTGCCATGTTTTTCTGATTTAGTACATTTGTCTCACCTTCCAGCTAAGTTAGCTGTGGCAGATAAATCAATTATGTACACTTAATTCAAATGGAGAGGTGACACCAACAGACTCAGAAGGGATTATCTCCTCCTCCCCAGCTCACGGTTCTTTTCTTTCCTCACATAAACTTTCTCCCTATTTGTATTTTCTTGTTCCTGATCAGTACCTTCACAGGCCTCAGCCAACTAGACTTTTGCTTGTTCCCAGCAGCCACTGTTCAGCGTCTCGGGGGTCAGTGCTGAGTAACGTGGGACCCTGCTGATTGAAAAAAGAAGGTGGTTTTAACAGATTATCACATCTCAATCTCTCGCTTAAATAAAGTTCATAAACACTGGTACTCCCCATTTGACCCTCCACCTTTCTGATATTCTCACATGTCACCAAGCCTTTCATTGATCTGCAATAAACTGAGCTGTTGCTTCTGTAATTGAATCAGATACAGCATGACTGACAGCTGCATATTGCACATGAAAGTATATGTTCTCATCCAGGAAACAAACAGGCTACAAATAAATGTACCATAAAATTAAAATCAATCCGATGGCATTTCCTTCCTCTCTTGCCCCTGTGATACTTTTCTCCAGTCTGCTTTATTCCTAATGAAGTTCTGACCGACATGGTTTAAATAGGAAATGTTACCATGCTTCACAGATGAGTCCAGACGTGTTTTTCTAATGCAGAGATCCTCCTCCTGCCTGGCCCCAAGATGCTGCCTGGTCATCAGTGCTCTTCTTTGACATTTCCAATAACTTCTTGCCCTCCCACTTCAACAAGTGACTCTGAAAAATAAATAAAAGTAAGCAACTAAATAAATAAATAAAACCACCCCACCCCCTCCCCGGAAATCCAGCAATCCTGGACACAGCCCAACCCCTGCAAGTGTTTTTACACCAAGCTACCGATGGCTTTGGCTGGAGGCGCCTGCAGCCCCGTGCGACAGCACTCGGACCCTGCTCAGGCTCTGCAGCGGCCCCTCCCGTCCCGACGTGCCGGGGCGGGACCTCCCCCCGCTGCCCGTCCCC